TGGTACTCATGGTACCTTTGGTTCCAGCGTAGCGCACGTACGAAGTCAAAACCAGCTAAACTCGAAAACAACCTTGTCAGCACGGAAAACAAGGCGAAATTCGAATTTTTGAAATATTCAAATACCAAACATTCGACCATGATCCAGGCTATCCTGAAATGTGTTAATTTCGGTAATAGGGGACAGATTCTTTAAGCCACGACCAATCGTGTATGTTTTCAAGCCCATTAATGTGAATTTTTCACTATTTTTCATTTTCAATTCAAAATGGCGTCCATCAGTTGACCTAAATCAAAATTCTGCGTCGAACATTGTTTAGACATTCCTTCAAGGATTCGGAAAATATAACTGCCTTGTCTGTAAGTAAAATATCAAAAAAGCCTTAGGGATTTTTCACATTTTTTGTGTACGAATCAGTAGTGTCGTAGCTAGTAAAGAAAAACAATTTCAAGGCAATCGGACCTATATTTCGTCGATTTTTTTTAAAAACTTTGATCCGTAATTTCATCAAGGGGAGATAATACAGAAAATTTCTAATGACATTTTTCAAGTTGTATCGGTAAGATCTACTTACATACTTAAGTGCCAGTCCACGAGAAAACCATGCAGAAATCGGGAAGGTGAGGGGTCGGCCGATTCCATTCATATTCACAGGGTTTGGTCATGCCCATGAGACTACTCGATAGCCAAAACCCCCGATCTCAGAAATTGACCATAGCTGAGATACGGCAAACAGGTGTTTTGGGGGGCTTTTTGCTCATTTTTTCGTCAATTTTAGGCAATGTTAGCTGCTGTTTTTCAGGTTGTAAATGATGATTCGATATATTAGGCTAGGTAGTAATGTTTCAAAAAAATGAAAAAAGAAAAATCTATCTTTCCACTGAGGGGTGCCATTTGGTTATTCCTGAAGGGTACAAATCGAACCCTATAAAGTACTCAACTTTATGCCCCGATATCTCCACTGCCGCGGGGTCCCATGAATTTTTTTTGTGGTTGTTAGTAAATGGGTACAAGGTCTCTCGATTAAAAAAATAAAATTCCATATATCTTCATACGCATGCGCGATAACATTGTCTAAGTTTTGACAATTTTGCTATTGAATCATCTGATATGATATGTTCTAATCAATATAGTGACAAAATATGGATGATAGTAACACCGTTCTACTGATATTTACTATTTGTCAATGATTATAACACCGTCATGAGGATAATTACTATTTTTCAATGACACCGTCCTGCTCATATTTACTATTTTTCAATGATAGTAACATCGTCCCGCTGATATTTACTATTTTCCAATGATAGTAACATCGTCCCGCTGATATTTACTATTTTCCAATGATAGTAACACCGTCCTGCTGATATTTACTATTTTCAATGATAGTAACATCGTCCCGCTGATATAGTAAATATAACACCGTCCTGATGATATTTACTATTTTTCAATGATAGTAACACCGTTCTACTGATATTTACTATTTGTCAATGATTATAACACCATCCTGATGATATTTACTATTTTTCAATGACAGTAACATCGTCCCACTGATATTTACTATTTTTCAATGATAGTAACATCGTCCCATTGATATTTACTATTTGTCAATGATAGTAACACCGTTTTGCTGATATTTCCTATTTGTCAATGATTATAACACCGTCCTGATGATATTTGCTATTTTTCAATGACACCGTCCTGCTCATATTTACTATATTTCAATGATAGTAACACAGTCCTGCTGATATTTACTATTTCTCAATGATAGTAACATTGTCCTGCTGATATTTACTATTTGTCAATGATTATAACATCGTCCTGATGATATTTACTATTTTTGAATGATAGTAACATCGTCCCGTTGATATTTACTATTTGTCAATGATAGTAACACCGTCCCGCTGATATTTACTATTTGTCAATTATAGTAACATCGTCCCGCTGATATTTACTACATATTCGTCAATGATAGTAACACTGTTCTACTGATATTTACTATTTGTCAATGATTATAACACCGTCCTGATGATATTTACTATTTGTCAATGATAGTAACACCGTCCTGCTGATTTATCCTGATATATATATATTGAGGAGATTAGATTCCTGAGGTACTTCCACTATTTTATCCTTCTGATATTTTGTAAAAATTTATGAATGTAAATTTTGTATGATATTTTGCGAGGGTTCATGAATGTAAATTTGTATAATACTGTATTTGATATTTTGTAAAGAAAGGATTCATTGAATGTCTCTGATATATTGTGAAAAATTATGAACGTAGTTTTTGTATTACATTTGATATTTTGTGAGGGTTCATGAATGTAATTACATGTGATATTTTGTAAGGATTAGTATTCCCTCCCGAAAGTAAATTTTGTATATATTTGATATTTTGTGAGGATTAAGGATTTACATACAACAAGTTAAAAAAAATGTTACGAGTTAGACCAACATGTATAAAACTACTCTACTACTAGTACCAATTGTTGCTGTTCAATATTCTGATATATACGTACACCTAATATAATATATTGCTACATTAAGCCAATTGAAAAAAAAAGTTTTTTGTTTATTTTTGGGACTTTTGTGAAGATGATAATCACTGTACTTTAAGAGTGTAGGACTACTACTTGTAGGTAGGGTATAGTCTAAATATAGATGATTAACTTGTTGGTCGCAGGTAGAGGTAAAGATAACATCGGTCCTGAAAATTGAAAGAAAAGAAAAAATCTTGCCTTTTTAGTTGTGCTGAACTGGAACTTTTTAGAGTGTAGAATTTATTTTCCAATCTTGTGGATTTAGGCCTACATTTTACTATTCAATGACTACTGTGAGCTATGACAGTTCTCTCAATTGCAGCTTATAATAAGATCTGTACATATCAAGAGATTTAAGAGTGAAATAATGCGAATTTTAGCAAATTTTCACTTCCAGTTGCAGTAAGCTGTTGTCATACGAACATTATGTTGCGAAAACATAGCAGCTGTGAAGGCATCTGTATTATACTACATTCGTTTGAATATCAGTTTGATAATATTGGGGATAAAGCTTCGTAAAATTGTCGAATTTATCCGATTTTTGTCAAAATTACCCACTATTTTTGAGAGTGTAGTTATAGACATATATGAAATATGATACCCAGTTACTAACAACCACAAAAAGAATTCATGGGACCCCGCGGCAGTGGAGATATCGCGGCATAAAGTTAGGGTACTTTATAAGGTTTGATTTATACACTTTAAGAATAACCAAATGGCACCCCTGAGTGGAAATATAGATTTTTCTTTCTTCATTTTTTTTAAACATTACTACCTAGCCTAATATATCGAATCATCATTTGTTTCATAAGTACTCATTTACAACCTGAAAAACAGCAGCTAACATTGCCTAAAATTGACGAAAAAATGAAAAAAAAGCCCCCAAAACACCTGCCTGCCGTATCTCGGCTAGGGTCAATTTCTGAGATCGGCAGTTTTGGCTATCGAGTAGTCTCATGGGCATGACCAAACCCTATGAATATGAATGGAATCGGATCTTCGAAACGGCTTACCGGAAGTGGTCGAAATTTGCCTACTCTGAGATATTATTAATGTAATTATAATCTGCAAGTTTCATTGAAATCGGTTGATAATTGCGGTCTGTAGCTGTGCCACATGAAATGTGTGGTACCTGATATCTGGGAAACCGCTAAGTGGCCGAAACTTTGCTTACTCTGAGAGATTATTAATGTTATTATAATCTGCAAGTTTCATTGAAATCGATTGGTAATCGCGGTCTGTAGCCGCGCCACATGAAATGTGTGGTAACCTGATATCTCGGAAACCGCTAACCGGAAGTGGTCGAAATTTTGGCTACTCTGAGATATTATTAATGTTATCATTTTCTGTAAGTTTCATTGAAATTTGTTGGTAATTGAGGTCTGTAGCCGTGCCACATGAAATGTGTGGTAACCTGATATTTCTGAAACTCTTAACCGGAAGTGGTCGAAATTTTGGCTACTCTGAGATATTATTAATGTTATCATATTCTGTAAGTTTAATCATCATGGATATCGGCTCATAATTGCGGTCTGTAGCCGTGCCACATGAAATGTGTGGTATTAACCCCCATATCTCGGAAATCGCCAACCGGAAGTGGCCGAAAGTTTGGCTACTCTGAGATGTTATCAATGTTATCATAATCTGTAAGTTTCATTAAAATTGGGTAACAATTATTGCGGTCTGTAGTCGTAAGGCTATTTTGGAATTCTAATTGCTTACCACATGTGGCAAATAGCCACTGCCATTAAAAAATATAAATGATATTATTTTTCATGTCCCTTATCAGCCACCTTTTGTTGTAATTAATATTCGGTAGATTTTAATTGTAAATGTAATAAGCCTGTAGAAATTTCAACACCCCGCCTTCTTTCATAATTTGATGATTGACATCATTTTTCTTTCATGTCGCCGCCGTTCAATCCATATAAGGTAGAGGGGGTGTTTGTGACGTAGGTCTAATTCAGGAAATAACCCCATAGTTTTATTTGCCCCACATACATTTAGTTTACTCAACAAAGCCATCGATAAAAATACAGGTATTGACCAATCATCGATTTTGTTTGTTTTCCCATGGCACATGCAATTTCATTGATACACAGCTACTTGCCTTTCTTCAAAAACTTAAATCTAGCAATAACACCAGATATCCTGCCAAGTTAGCCGTAGTCTAAACTTTTACCGTTAGAACTTCACTGTAAACGCAACTGTCCCAATTCGTGATGGGTGACGTCAGAGCGACCCTGTGCATATCCGCCTTGGAATAATACCGCAGTTATCGAAAAACTTCTCGCATGCTTTGATTTGATACATTATCGTTACTATAATGAAAAGGGATAGTTAGCCTATTTTGTAATAAACGCGATTTAGTTTGTTAAAGTCACAAAGTGGAGTTATATGTTAAAACCTGAAGGACTACTTTGCAAAGTTAACAACCAAACGTCTTTAACGCGTAGTAATACACACTGGGTAAACCTAATTTTCGTGCTAAACTTTAATGGTGTCCTCCCATATCAAGAAGAAGCCAGGGAAACTTCAGGATTTCTTAAATAACTTTCGTTAAAGAGCGAACAAATCAACAGAAAAAGAGCCCTAAGGGTGTGTGTGATAAACTGAAAAAGGACTTAGCCGTCAAAATGTCTCAAGACCGGTCGGAACGGAAAGGTTCGCAAATTGTGCATGTACGTGAAAATAGTGACAGTGACTTAGAAGCTTTATTTAGTTATGCCATAAACCCTTCATCGGATACAAATAAATCTATTCCACTTCGGATGCGCAATCTTCCAGCTTCATTCTTCCAGCCACCCGAGCCACACCTTCAAACTGGTAAAGAAGGCAGCGCAGAATCTACGGGTTATTCCGCATCAAATACGACTAGCACACCGAACTTTTCCATAGCTCATACACGAGTTAGATCGTCCCCAGCCAGTTTATCGCAGACACAGACCCTGAGTACTGCTCCCCCTCCCCCATGTTCACAACATGTGAGACAACATAGTTACGATCTCGCCGAAGAACCGTTACCGCCTGGATGGAGCATAGGAGTTACTGTAGTGGGGCAAAGATACTTTTTAAAGTAAGTACCTGTACTTTCTCATTAGCAATTTACCTGCATGGTCGCCATGTTGAATTTTTAATTGAAGGTGTCAAAAGGTGCAAATCTTTTTTTCCACGTTTCAGTTTTGTCAATAGTTTCAGGTAGACCTATAAAATGTTATACGTGAAGCTACCGAGCGTAATTGAGTTGAATCTAATTTGCAACATCAAAGCTATTTTAAAATATTATGTTTTGACAGCTATGGCCGCTTTTGTGATTACCGTTACTCGGCTTTAGCTATGGCTTCCCACAGTTGATAAGACAGGCCACAGATCACTAAAGGTTTCCCCATTCACTTTAATGTTAATTCTCTATCTTAGACCGGCTCTAACTTTTCCCCAAATTTTCGTTGGGTAGAACCCTTTCTACCACAGATGGAGCAACATGTGACAATCTCTTGCCCAAAAGCAGTATCTTATGAGGTTCTTAGTAATGAAAAACTTGAGATACACAAGCTGGAAGTAGAGACTAGTAAACATGCAATTTTAGGGTATCACGTCATTTGGGACTCAACATAAACAACATTTGGGACCAGTCCATGCGAAAGCCGTCGGACCATCGGTCATTACCGATAAAATAGCTCTCGTGAATACCGGTCCAGTTGTCCGGAAAGATTCTGGACCCGGTTTACTGACTGCTGGTTGTATTAATTCATTGCCGTATTGGCACTGACTGACGGCACTTCGTGCACGGACTGTTGAATTCTCGTTTAATTTATTGTGTTAATTTCACTCTTGTTTAAAATGTAAACAAAATCTTATCTCGAGTACGTACAGTGTAGCAGTCGCTATCATGTGCCACGATAGTCGCGGGACACGATAGGCCTCGGTGTAATTTTACATGCAAAATTAACGGTTATATTTGTCATAAACAATCAATGTCAAAACGATATACTGTCACGATGTTATGAATGTTGAATATTTTCGTTAATAATACGGACGCGTTAGGTAAAGTTGTATAGTAAGAACACGCGTGTTCACATATTCTGCACTAGTGTTGAAACTACTATTCGGATATTCGTTAACGGATACAAAATAAGGGTTATCCGAATCATTTTACTATCCGTTTACTATTTGTTACAATATATTCTGACATTCCGTATGCTCTATATTTAGCCATTTTTACGTCTGATTACTTTGAAATTTTCCCCAATGCAATTGATCACATACGTAGCTCTGAGCCTAAATGTCAATATTATGTGTATTATTTAGTGATAGTAACTAATAATTAACTATTAATGCAGTGTAACGAAAACAGTAGTCTAAATAAAAAAAATATTCATTCATTCCCTGCGCTAGTTTACGTCGTATGAGTTTAGACCGTGTTTTGACTTCCCACAATGAAATTTATTCATAACAACCTAGGTCACGTATATTCCCACTCACTGATTGGTTCAATAGTAGTAGATTATCAGAATGAATCAAACGACCTTGCCAGAATAAATGGCACATGTTTTTATTTTACTTTTTTCTTTCGTGTTGATTGAGCAAAATGATAAGTGGGAGGGTGCGGATAACACAAGTAGTTATACTATACAAATTCCTTCACCTCATTGATTTTTTGGGATGTCAGACCGATGTCATAGATAGTCTTAATAATTACAGCTAAATGTAGGCACGTTTTTTTCCTCGCGGCTCAGACAATTTGCAAATCGAAAGTGCGATTTCATACTCGGCATACACAGACCCTCATAAACATTGAAACAAGTAAGAAATTATGAGTACCGGTATATGAACTTTTGATGCAATTTTGTTCAAGAATTTCACGTCTCCGAATTATCCGAATAGTATTCGGATAGCCAACAAACGTATTTGGATCACAAATTTCGAACCGATTTTCAACACGATATTCTGCACGATATATGCGGTTACATTTCCAACCAGTCATGTAAAGCTGCATGTCTAGTACATTTTGAAGGACACGTATGCATAAGACTATACATGTTTAGAGTGCATAGTTAAGAATTACTCTCGAATCACGGCAAAGATAGACTTTAAAATGGCAAACTATAACGGTATTTAGGTTACCGGTCTTACAAATAGAAATAAGACAAATAGAACTTGCAACGGGAGTCGAAAGCGCTTTTAAATCAGACATAAGAAGCTCGTACTTACCGCGACACAAGTCTCCGATGTCAGAGAATATTAGTAAAGTATAACCGCTATCAAATCCACACAAAAATCCAAGGCACTCATTTTATTTTAGAAAAGAATAACTGTAGGCTCGATAGAAGAGCCTATTCTACATGAACCCCAAATCAATGGTAACTGTCAACTTGTATGTTGTCATTCTCGTGCAGATTTGTTTGAATAACAGAAATGTCCCGTGTATCAAGATCAAAGAATAAAATCGCACGTAGCCACTCTTTAGTTGTTTTTATGCGAATTCAATTTATCTAAAAGGGGCTCCGGCACAATTTAAGGAATTATTTTTTACCCAATATTAACCATCGCCAATTTTTTAAATCATGGGATAAAGTCAATTAACAAACAATACGGGTCTACTTTATTACAAAAACATTGGTGAACTTACCATTTTGTCTAAAATCATAATGCTAATCAACAAACAATACTATTGTTCTTTATTACAAAAACATCAGTGAACTATATTGTTTTTGTACATATTTTATTTATTTGTTTGTACTATATGTTATACCTGATGAGTCCGGCTTAAAGGAATAAAGAATTTGAACTTGAACTAATCGCTGTCGGGATGGCGAGCCAAGCTAGTTGATTATTAGGTAAATATACAAAATATAAACAACGAATGAGTAAAACTGATCTATTCTAATGAATTAAATAATATACAAGTCAAGTACCGGTATTACCTTAGCCGTGGACGGGTTTGCTTGTGGACGGGTTAACGGACACTCAACTTACAAATATTAAATCATCGCTGTATTGGCACTGACTGACGGCACTTCGTGCACGGACTGTTGAATTCTCGTTTAATTTATTGTGTTAATTTCACTCTTGTTTAAAATGTAAACAAAATCTTATCTCGAGTACGTAGTACCGTATATCAAGCTAGTCTAGTAAGTACATGTAGTAGGCTAGGTTAATCCAGACTAAAACGAAAGTCCTTTTATTGTATTATTAACATTGGCTTCTGGTAGACTCGATTGTCATCTAAGGGATTGTATTTTCTTTGTGCGGTCTATTTATTGTTATCATTAACACAAAATGACAATTAAGGAAGTGTGCGAAAAAGTCTTATACAATAGATAATCTTTGTACAGTTCCTCCCAAATTTTTTGGACCGAAATCGCCGCGACACGGTGAAAAAAAACTCTCGGAATTCTCTTAGATTTCACGGTGAAATTTCGCTTGATTCCGCGGCGATTTTTCTCTAAGATTCTCTAGGAGTTCACCGTGTTTCTCTAGGAATTCACCGTGTTTCTCTAGGAATTCACCGTGTTTCGATAAGAATACATCGTGTTTCGATAAGAATACATAGTGTTTCGATAAGAATACATAGTGTTTCGATAAGAATACATAGTGTTTCGATAAGAATACATAGTGTTTCGCTGTGCTTCCCGCAAGGAATTCGCGAGCCTACCTTAAGATAGGGTCGAACTAATATTGTCTATAATAATTTAAAGGAGTTGTAATATAGTAAGGCTCCAGGGAAACGTGTACATGTATAATGTACAGGGCTGTTTGAATAACAAATGAGTTACATGTAGGTAATCTCAGGAAGACATTTACCGGCATTCTGTATCGGTTAGGATTTTTTCCCCAACGCACTTTATACATACATAACGCCGGCTAAAATGTATGCAAACTATGAACAACTTACAATTTTTTAAACATATCAATTCATCTTCGTCTATAACTTAGATGTAATCCGTCAATTTGGGACTGCTATCAAATCCAAACTTTAAATTATATACGATGAGCTTTTACACATTACTTCATTACTCGCAGCTTCGGTTAATCTAAATCAATCATTCATACAGCACGTACAGTAAATCACTCCGCGGGTCGCTTAACGGTATGTTACGTGGTCAGAAACGCGCCAAAAGATTGGGACTACATGTATATTCTTACGCTGTTTTACTCGGCGAATAATATCCGCTGTGACAATATACATCTACTTTATGTCACCCAATTCATTTCGGTGGGAGCAGATATTGAATAAAGCCATTTCACACACACATACGTGTACATTACTCGCAGCTTCGGTTAATCTAAATCAGTCATTCATACAGCACGTACAGTAAATCACTCTGCGGGTCGCTTAACGGTATTTTACGTGGTCAGAAACGCGGCAAAAGATTGAGACTACATGTATATTCTTACGCTGTTTTACTCGGCAAATAATATCCGCTGTGACAATATACATCTACTTTATGTCACCCAATTCATTTCGGTGGGAGCAGATATTGAATAAAGCCATTTCACACACACATGCGTGTACATTACATGCGCCTCATATATTTATAAATAAAATAAAACCAAGTATGAACAATCCAAACCATTAAAGACAAAATTCGAAGTCCTAAACGAGTGTGTTAATTCTCGTCTTCACCCCGTTATAATTTACTTATTTTGAGTACACTTTCTGAATGATTCCATTCTTTTGTACGTCCAACTTGTCGATTTCCTACTGCATATACATGTATCCTGTGTAACAACAAGCTTATACATACATGTATGTTTGCGTTTAAAATCTAGATATATCAGAAGCTCGAAATTTATACTAGACGGTGAATACGCAAGTTTCGTGGTTGAACCGCATCGATATTGCATAATATCGGACCCATATTTATCTTTGCTACTCGGACAAACCCAAAGAACCACTCGGACCAATTAAATTACATTATTAGGCTTGATTTATTCATTTTAAAAATATAATACAGACAATATGTTATTTATGATTAAATCACAATACAAAGAGGCGAATAATTTATAGATGAGTATATTCATAGCTTAAGAATGGCCGCTGCCGGTAAGTACATATTAGCAAATATTTATCTT